TCAGCATGCAATAGGTGAGCAAAAGAGACCCACTATTGAGTGCTGTTAAATGAGGAGGATGAAATAACGAAACTAACAGTTGAGTAAATAAGCAAAAATCACAGCTTCTCTCAGTGACCAGTCCTGCTCAGCCAGCCAACCTAGTACAGTTCAGCACATGTTTTCTGTTTTTGCCTGTTCTTGCACCGGCTGGTCTCCATTTAAAAAAAAACAACTTCTAGGCTCTTGTTCAGTTTCTAAGATGAAGAATTGAATTAGACGTGCCCAGGGTGTTCAAGAGGTCAGTTCTCTTGGAGATTACAAGTTGGAAATTTGGAAGAAACAGAGGAGAGATGGAACAATTTCAGACTGTGCTGGGACAATCTGCTTCATGTGAGATATCTTCAAGGAACAATTACAGGAATAACATTTGCTGTCAGCTGATAGAGCCAGAGCAGCAAGTGCATAATAAATCCACTTTTGTTAGTTTCAGGACCTCGTGACAAAGTTTTTCTATTCAAACTAAGCCTGGAGAACAGTTATTCAAATTGACTTTTCTTTCAAGCAGTGTTAAAGCCTTCATGCAACCCATAGCTAAAATATCAATTTTATTGTTGCTGTTAAGAAAATATGCAGATTCCAAAACTTACTGATTTATTTTTTACAACTTTAGAAATCTTTTGGCGCATGGGAACAGACTGTACATATGTTCATTTTTCTTTTCCCATTTTCATAGCTGCATGACAGAAATGTGATTCATGTACATTGTATATGTTATAAAGCCAAAATCATCTGGCATCACTCCATTGAAATTACTGATGTTACCACAGGGTTGAATTTGGACTAATGCAAGAGACCTGACACTGTGGAATTCAACCATTCTATGAAAAAAATATTGTGTCCACATGTTGCTTGAGATCAATTTTACTTAAATAACTTAGTGATCTATGGATCTTTTTGATTTGTACCAAACTACAGAACAGTTTTAGCTTATGACTAGGGACCTACCAAACTCACGGCAGAAATGGGCTGCGTGGCATCTCATTTAATCTTGCAGGTTCCCCTAATCCCCTGCCCCTACTGCTGATTGGCTGAGAGGCCCAAGCGGTGGCCCTGTTGCTTGATGGTGACTGTCTGGGAGGTAAAAATGATGCCATATTTAAAACTGTGGTTTTTACCTCCTTGCTGATCAGCAGTGATCGTCAGGGCTCCTTTGCCAATTGATGTGGGGGGGGGGGGGGGGGGGGGGGCGGGGAGAGAGGAGAGAAGGATGCATGGGAGAAATGGTAAGCTTAAAGGAGCTGCCGCACAGCCCGCTTCGGCCGTGAATTTGGTACGTCCCTACCTATGATGCATGATTGACTTTGGTTTGTGCATTTATTTCACCGAGGGCCTATGATACCAGTTAATAGATCTCTTTCTCACAAATTTTGCTTATTATTCTGAGGCCAGGGTTGTTGGTAAACTACAGAAATAACTGGCCACTATGAAACGTTACCTGTACCATGCCTCTGCTTAAACATTCTTTCCTCATTCAGTTCTCTCCAGAGGATTAATATTTTTTGCATAAGAGCTTCTAAAACTTGTTTTTCAGGGGAAAACGATTACCATTATATCTGCATTAAGAACTCATGCTGAGAGAGACTATGCATCTTGCATTTTCATCTGTTTAGCAACAGGTGGTAAAAACAGCAGCCTCTTCACTGGTTTGTTGAAAAAATCACCCAAACTTTCATTCTGCTGCTCTGATAATAGGAAAAGGATAGAATTATTTCTTTTTAAACCTCACTTCAATGAAATAAAAAATGGGAAGGATTTTTCAAACCTTTTATGAGGTATTTAACTATATCCTAGTTCTAAAGTGCTCTTCATCTTATCTGTTGAGGAGTCTATTTTGTAGCTCATTTGAGACTGGGAAATAAGCTTGCATTTGTATAGGATGCCTTTGATTCAAATAAGTATCAAAGACATTTTAATGTCAAGTTGTACAGGTTACAGTAAATTTGATTAAATATATCTGTGGTGCTCAGATTTTTTTCCCAAATGGGCAGTGCCCAGTCTGCCCACAGGTTGGATCTGGCTAGAGGTCCTGATCCTGCACTCAGAGGTGGGGCACAGTGGGGCCCCATTGGGCTGTGTAAAGAAGTGGGGGGGTAGCCTGACCTCAATCTAGTTGCATGGGGGAAGGGGACTTGGCCTGGCTGCAACCTGGCCCTGCAGTGGGGGAAGGATGGGGTATGAACTGGCCACAATCCAGCTGGAGCCAGGTCATATCCCCTTTGGCATGGGGAAGGAGACTTGGCCTAGCTCTAGTTTGACCATGTGGGGAGAGGGAGTGTGGCCGGGTCCCAGCCCAGCTGTGCAGAGGGCATGGGGTGTGGTCCAGGTCTAATCTGTTCACAGGGCTTGGGAATTTGGCAGTGTGGGAGGGTAGAGGTATTAATTGCCACATTCCTCTGTCCCCACACTTCCTGGCCTGTGGGTAGCCCCTTGGGCTGCATGACATGGCTCCATGGGCTAGATTTGACTTGTGGGCTGCAGGTTAAGCACCCTTAATATATGTTATCAAAATGAATCTGCCCACCAAGAAACCAAGAAGTGAGGAATATAGTGTCCAAATTTAAACTAATCTAGGAATTTAGGGAGGCAACCCATGGGTATTAGTTTAATCATTTTGATAGGCTATAGAGCAGGAGAATCATGCAAAGGAGGGTTGTAATGAGGTGTGAGAAGAGAGTGCTCATCCAAAAGAACAGTTGTTAAAAGCCCTTCTCTGATACTAAGTTCTGCTGACCATGCCTGTGGCAGTATAGCAGTCTCTCTCACATGTAGGTAGTTTCTAGGTCATGTAGGGCTTCAGAGGTTAATGCCTCCACCTGAGTCATCATAGGAACTGGCCTCCACTTAGAGTAACATGGACCACAGATGTTATGCTCTTAGAAAAAAGTGCTTAAGAAGTGGGGTGTAGATTTCCGTATTAGCCTCAGTTTCCAAAGTAGGTTTAACATGTAGCCCATGGCTAAGTATAGACAGTCAAAAATCCTGAAGCTGAATCAATTCAGTCTTTGCAGGTTAGTCTAAGCTTCACAGATTAAATTGAAACAGAAGTGAATAGACCTTTGATTCAGGAAATGCAGCCACATGCCTGCACTGGCTCAGGTCAAAAGCCAAGGGGCACTAGAGCACTGCTGTCTGGCATGACCCAGTAGGGGCTGTGTGTTCACTTCTTCCTGCTGCCCCCAAGGTCTCTGAGATTTGCAGTTCAAAATCATAGCACCAGGACTCTGCAGGGTTGCTCATCACTTCCTCTTCCTGCTTCCAGGTGCCTCTGGGATTTGTAGTCCACATTTGCATCCAGTAGTGTTTGAGTGGGGGAAGGGGTGTTTAACACTCCCTCCCAGGCCCCAGCTAGGGTTTGCCTGGGTGGGGGGCATCCCCTCTTCCCCCTTGCAGACTGGGTTGCATCCCCAGCTGGGCTTGCTTCCGCTTCCCCCACCTCCTGTGAGGGGACTATGATTTAACTTAAAACAGGAAGGGGTCTTGGGCAGAAATTCATAAACTGGTTTGACCCAAATCAGTTGAGTCTGATACTGCATTCAACCAAGTTTGTCGTAAACTGGTTTCCGCCATTTTGGAAAACCGGCTTATATGCTCTGAGCTTCTGTTCTGTTATAGGTTTAAACCAGTTTCTGAACACTTAAACCAGTTTGTGTGTAACTTCTTTCTACCTTTGGTAGTTTCTCAGAAGAGTACATTGCTTAAATAGTGTTAGGGTATTGTTATTATTGTATTGTTATTATATTGTTCCATTATTTTGCAGTCACAACAATTATCCAGACTGTTACAGTACCAGCATAGCAATTAATGCCTTGTGTATACATGGCAACTTACAGAATGCAAGTGTTTTAAATATACACTCTATGTTTGCAGAGATCATTTCCCTTACCACTGAAATGCAGCTACAGGGTTGAAAACATGTTAACTAAATATACTCGGTGGCAGATCCAGAGTGTGGTGTCATGGTTCAGTTGCACTCCAGCCAGTATGGAACCCTCGGGGTAGGCAGAAAGCCAGCAGAGAAGCAGGCGTAGGAAAGAGGAACCCATTTTCTGCCACTGCTTTGGCTGCTTACAGATGTGTAAAAAAACCAAACCAAACAAAACAAAAAAGAACAGCACTTTACTATAAACTTGATGTGCCCCCATTCTGAGCCCAATGCATGCCCAGAAGAGGCATTGTGTTAGTTGAACCCAGCTTGCCGAGATTGGGCACTTTAGCTTTTTTGGAGTTTTTATCCATTAGCTAAAAGGTAAATAAATGTACCAAAAAGCCCTGCTGAAGTGCCCAATCTGCTGCAGAGCCAGATCAGACTAACATGGCGTTTTCCCTTTTTTGAGCATGTTCTAGGCTTGGTGCAGGGACTGCTTCTTCCAGTAAAGCACTTACTGGAAGCTGCTCCTTCCAGTTAAGCCCTGCCACCCTTTTTTTAACGTTGGTCTGCAGCCTTTGTGGCTAAGTCCAACACCGTGTGCAGCTGCTCCCTGCAGCCACCCCTCTGCCCAGCAGGTGATAAGAGCAGCTATATAGGGTTCCCTATGTGCCTGGGTCAGCTTGGGACCATGGCAGCAAGGGCCAGGTCCTCTTTCCTGTGGCTGCTTCCTACGTCTGCTCCCCTGTGCCCCCCACCTCCCAAGCCCAAAGTCTCCAACTGTGCCCTGCCTTCATCCCTACCATGGTATGAGGGCGGTATTCTGCACCCCGCTTTATAAATCTTCTATCTGCCCATGTTTATGCTAACACTGTGCAGTAGTGGAAGGGGTAACAAGTAATCAGATATCTATTTTACATTAATGGGCATGCAAGTAAACAGAATATACCTGATTAGTTTTAACAGAGTTGTAAACGTACCTGAGAGTTTCAGTTCCGCAAAACTTCTTCACTTCATTACTCAATGCTAATCAAGTTGTCTATAATGAACCAGTGAGAAGTTTTATACAAAGGTTGTGTTTCTTCTCTCCTAGATTACTGAACTGTGTGGTGCAAAACGTGTGGGTTACTTTGGTCCTGCTCAGTTTTATGTTGCTCTGAAATTAATCGCTGCAGCACAGTCTGGTCTCCCGGTACAGCTAGAGAGCATTAAGAGTGGTAAGCAGCTCATTTTGCTTAGTTTACTTACAAAGGTGGTGTTCTTTAATTTCTTGCATGTGTACTGTACGCTGTTTGCTTTGTTTACTTGCAGGGTTAGATAAAACTAAATCAAAATCCTATCAGAGGCAGGGAGAGACAGGTGAAGAAGGTAATTCTATTATCCATAAATTATAGATAGAGAATTATAGTGAACTCATGGAGAATTAATTGTTTCTTCCTGTAGAAAAGCATTACAAAAGCAACAAGCCAACAGGGCTGTCATGATTATGAGTTCATTTCTGCCACCATTACTCATCTTCATTTCCAAACTTAAAAGTTGTTCTGCTCAGGCTGACTGATATATTTGCATGGAGTAAATATTACTAGGATTCTTGAGGAATACGGGATTTGTCTCAACTGGAAGAACTTAAGCGTTCCTTTTCAAATGGAAATAAATGGGCATTAAGCACAGTGGCAAAACCTTGCCTTATTATCAAGTAACATTAGTGTTTATGTTGAGGATAATTGAAAATGCATTTGTTTTTCATTGTCCATTGAAATAAATGTTCAGTGCACTTCTGTGTGGAAAAATGCTTGTTTCAAGAAACTTAAAAAAAAAAAAATTCTAAAGTGGTCAAGATGAAACAATGCTTTTACCTGTAAAACTTTTAATAGCTAATACGTGAATATAACTATATACTGCCACATGCCAGACCAGAAGTAAAAGACTCAACCTTCAGATTGTTCTGCTGGGCTGATGATGTCAGTCTGATATAGGAAAGAGAGAGTGACAGTCTAGATAGCATAACTTCTACAGCACTCCCACCAACTAGATGGCCAACCAAAGACAACTGTAGTCAGAAGCTGATTTGAATACTTAAAATGTAGACTGCTTTGGATAGAAGATGAAGTTCTAACTTCTAGAGCCATCTTGTGCCAGTTTGTCATTCTACGTATGACTGAAATCCAGCAAAGGATTCATGTATAAATCAGAATATAAAAATATTAGTGAGCATAGGTTTTCAGTTGCACTGGACATATCAGGGTATTAATACTATCCTTTGGCAAAATCAGCCCAAGACAGGGAAATCTGCAGTATGCCAGTACTACATTTTGAAACCTTGCTGTATATTTTTCCTAACAGAATGATAGATGGGGTCCAAGAGTGTGACACGTTCTAACTCCAAACTAAAAAGTTTCCTATTTTTTAAATAATTTCTAATAATTTCTTTTTTATATATATTTTCTAAACTGCACTGCATAAGATCCCAGATTCTAACCTTTATGGCCATGACCAGACAAGTCCGGTATGTGGCTCTGCAGACATGTCTGTGGTGCCACATACCGCACGTTCAGTTGTTCTTTGCACTGCAAGGGAGCAGCATAGAGAAGTTTTTTGACCCTTGGATATTGTGACAGGTCACTGCTCTGGGCCGCCCTTAATGTGGCCCACACACCTGTCTCTGGGGCTAGCGCCCGCCTACTCACCTGCCATGCCTTGATCTTAGTTGATTAATTAGTATTAACTAGCAGGAGGCTGCCCTAATACTGCCCCCCCTAAGGGGGTGCTATCTGCGGCTCTGTTTCCTCCCCTACTCCGCAGTCCACACCTCGCCAATGGAATCATCGTTGTCTAACTTCTCTCGCTATTTTGGCCCCTTCCTGTTCTCCCTGGACTTTCCTTCTCTGCGCCCACCCTTGGGCTTCCTAAATGTTGTCCCCCTGTCTGGGGCTTGCTGTGCCCAACTTGGGCTTCCCAATAATGCGGCCCCTTATCAGGGGCTCCCAGCGCCCACACTTGGGCTCCTAAAAAATGCTGCCCCCTATCTGAGGCTCACAGTGCCCAACTTGGGCTTCCCAATAATGCGGCCCCCTATTAGGGGCTCCCAGTGCCCACACTTGGACTTCTAAAATAGCACTCCCCTCTCTGGGGCTCGCCATGCCCAACTGGGCTTCTTGCCCCCTTTCTGGGGCTCTCCGTGTCCAACTTGGGCTTCTTAAAAATTCAGCCCCCCTTCTCTGGGGTTCGCCGCACCCAAGTTGGGCTTCTTGCCCCCTTTCTGGGACTCTCCGTGCCCACACTTGGGCTTCTCAATAATGCACTCCCCTCTCTGGGGCTTGCCGTGCCCACACTTGGGCTTTCCAATAATGTTGCCCCCTTCCTGGGGCTGGGGTCTCTGTACCCCATACGCTGCGCCCGCTGGTGCTGGGGTCCTCGCACTCCACTGTGAGTCCCCTATGAGGCCTCCTCCAACCCCTAATAGCCTCACCCAAACCACCGGTCATAGCAAACAACACAAACTTGAGCCTCCTGGCTATAACTCAAACACAAGCCGCCTGGCTACAACAACACTGGTCAACTCCACTCAAGCAGTACCTGTGGGTCTCGCTGCTTCTCGCATCATTACTCCAGGAACTTCTGCCTCTCTGACTGCTGGCAGGGAACTACCCCTGGCCTCAGCTCCTTGGGTTTATAAAGGGAGCCAGGCCCGGCCCCTTCCAGTCAGCTGGCCTTCATTGGTTGCCCTAGCAACCCACAGCTGGGCTCCTTAGTCACTGCTAGGGCTCCCTCCCTAGCAGTTTTCCCCTCTTCAGGAGTAGGGCACCACCGTGCTCTGTGACAGATATCCAGGGGTCAAAAAAACCCATAGGAAAAAAAGCAGAGCACCGCATGTGGGGGCAGCATGCACTGCTCAGAAGTGGAGCTGGGCTGGCTGGAGCTGCACTGTGGCTACTGGCCAGGCTCTGCACAGCAGAATCGCCACTGGTGCAGTCCAGGTGGCCCCCAGAACCCCAGGTAAGGCTGCTGGGTAACTTGCCATGTGCCAGAGCACATGTGGCACAGGTGTTCCCCGGGAAATAGTTGTCCCCAGGGAACCAAATGTCCACACAACTTTTCTGAAAGCCTCTAAGGCAGGGGTGTCCAACCTTTTTGAATGTGGGGCCAAATCATGAACTTTTTATCACCCAGTGGCCGGTAAGCCATATTCATATTTTATCACCCCACGGGCCATATGTTGGACAAGCCTGATCTACATAAAACCTTCACTCTGGAGGAGGAGAGATGGTGAGCCGTAGAAGTGCCCACTCGGTCTCTTCCATTCCAAACCACAGCGATGTGTTCCCCTACAGCCAGGACCCCAAGGCAGGACATGATTAGGTAAAAGTCCCAGGCCCCATGCTCTAATTGTGTGTGTGTGTGTGTGTGTGTGTGTGTGTGTGTGCGTGCAGTATCAGATCTGTGTGCCTATTCCTGTGTCACTGTCTTCAGAAGTGTGGTGCAATTAAGTACCTGGTTAATTGTGGTTGTGTGGAGTTGTGTAGAACAGCAACTGATTCAGCAAGGCTAAGTTCATAGGTACTAGAGAAGCTATCTGCTGGTGTGACTGTGATGGCGTTGCTGCAGTTGTGTGTAGTTCTAAGCTGTATATGCCTCCCAGGTAGCTGTGCAGGAATCGGTGCTGCATGTGTGGTTGGGCACAACTGCGTAAGCATAATTGTGAGTGCCTGTGAGTGCACCACTGTGTGCTCTGGGGCCACTCTGCAAGGTGTGTGATGCTGTAGAGCTGTTGTGATTGTGCATGCATGGCAGGTGACTCCAGGGCGGCGGGAGTGTCTGTGCAGATATGCCCAGGTGTGTGAGTGACATGACAGTACCTGCGTGTGCCACCATGTGGGTAGTGCTTCTTCACCTTGAGCCTTCGTTCCTCTCGGTCTATATGGCCTAGGGTGTACACAAGAACGTGTGTGCATGTAGTGCCCATGACTTTTGTGTATGTGTGAGTGTGTGTGTGTGTGTGTGTGTGTGGAGGCGGGTGTGCACATGCACATATGTGCATGCATGTGTGTTTCTGAGTGCGTGGGTGTGTGCACATGTGTGTGCACACCTGTGTTCACCCCTGGATGCTGCCTGCCTGCCCGTCCACCTGCGCTCATCCCTGCCTGTGTGTGCACGCGTGTTCACCCCCTGCCTCTGCCCCAGCCATGTGTGGGGGGGTGCGTGCCCGCCTGCGCGAGCCTCCCCCGGCCGCCCGCCCGTGCAGGGCTGCCTCCCCGCGACCCGGCCAGCTCCCCCTGCAGCCACAGCCCCCCTGTGGCAGGGTCGGTCCCTGCCTGTCTGGGGCTACGGGCGGCGAGGTGCATCCAGCGGGCACGGGATGCCAGGACCCAGCAGAGCCCCTGGCCCGGGGAGGCCGCAACACCGGCACCAGCACCGGCCGGGCGTCTGCTAGGTCCCTGCACCCCGCTGGACCGTGCCACCACGGCCCCAGGCGAAGTCCCGGTCCCAGGGCGGCGGGGGCAGCGGGCTCAGGCCGTGCTCTCGCCCCTGCGCCTTGCCCCGTGCCCTCCGAGCAAGGCCAAGCACCGCCCCCATGCCCAGCGTGGCCCCTGCTGGCACCATGGGCCGGGGGATCCCTTCCTGCCTGCCCGGGGGGCATGTGCCGGAGCCAGCAGGACACTGGAGGTCCCGGGGCAGGACAAGGGGGGCACGTCTGGCCATCCTGCCATCCACTCAGCCCAGCCATGCCACGCCAGTGATACTTCTAAGGCGTTGTCCCCAGCTCGTCCCGTCAGGCACGGCCAGGGCAGCTCCATGCTACGCAGCCCTCAGGGCAGCAGCAGGACCTAGCTCATGTGACGTGGGAGGTCACGTGAACCCGGCTCGGCAGGGGGGAGCAGCTCCCCTCCCCTCCCCCACCCGCCTGTCCTGAACAAGGGACCTCGGGCCTCAGAAAATGGCTTGGCGGGCCACATGGTGGCCCGCGGGCCATATTTTGGACAAGCCTGATCTAAGGACAGGATCATAGATTTGATCATCAAGCTCAAGTGCAGAGAAAAGGCGCATGCAGGGAAACATGAAGGGAAAGGCACAATGGGATCTAATGCATGATCCCACAGTTGCTCCTCCTGCCATGCACATGTGGCATAGCAGGAGGTACAATTGTGTGGATCAAGCATTAGATCCCATTGTGTATTATTCCTGGTGCAGGGGGAGCCTGGGAACACCATCCTGGGCT